ATTTCCACTTTTCAATGAAGAACTCAAACTGGATGTTGGGAGAGGATGAGGGCAGTCGTTCACTGCAAAATGCGCTTGTTTCTGAGTGAAACCTGTGTAAAAAGCTTCCAAAAATGCATCCTCACGCTTGCTAGCCTGGTGCGTTCCAGCCTGGATCCTTTATGCAGAGTGTACGATGATTTAAGCTAGTGGGCGCACAAGGTAGGTGTAAAGCGACAACCATTCATACGGTTAACGATGTGATCAAGTTTAGTGCAAAAACGCATGATCGCATCGGCTAGCGTGGTGCATTCCAGCCTGAGTGTTTTTCGTCACAGGGGCGTTCTGAGTTTTTATGCGTTTTTGCTGTGCAGCTCTATAGCGCTGCTACAGCCAGCAAAAACGCATATTGTCGAGAGGCTGTCTGTGTATGTGTGTGTATTCGGAAGCGAGTGCATTTTGTCACCCACTTTCATCTCAGCAACCTGGAAAGCTGGGAGGCTGAAACTTCGGGTATACGTTCCTACCCCTGTGTCATCCTCTCTTTTTAAGATCTTACCCCGCCTACGGGCCCCCAAAAAATATGTTGGCGGAAAATGGCTTCGCGAAGCAGACAAGGTAGAAAGCTGAAACTTAGCAGAGATATTCTCCATGCGCGTGCGAGCTAAAGATTTTAAACTCAGCTGTCGAGCACCCCAACCGCAGCCTCAAGCAGCTTCTCAACCCAAAAATTGTTAGCAACCCGGGCCCGAACCGCAATCGTATATGTAAATGAACATTAGTTCTTTTGCATACATGGATTTTTTGACAAACGACCACTCGAGCAAAACTTCCACTTTTTAGTGAACTGGAAATTTGCATTTTTTCAGAAAATTTGCATTTGTCATTTTTTCACAAAGCGAGCATTTACCGAAAAACGACCGGACTTCGTGCAGCAAAAAAACCCGTAAGACAGCTGCTAAGGCTGGTAAAACCAGTTTTCTATAGTAAAACAGCTGCTACCTGAGCCCCTAAGGGCGAAAGACCCCTCCCCGCTCCCCGCAAAGAGTATCCACCCCAGAACAGCCGCGAACTCACCTTTCCAACCCAACTAATATTCCGAAAAGTGAGCCCCGTGGCTGTTTCGAGCTGTTCTTGGGAGGCCGGTACTATGGCTGTTCTAAAGGGGACATCGCTGTTCCTATCCTCCACAAAACACTACGATATCCCTCTCCCAGAGCAATCACAGAAGGCGCCTCCCCCTCCGCCCCCTCCCCCATCCCCCTCAACATCTGCATATGCCAAGCACAAAAAAAGAACCTAAAAACACCAACCCCCCAGACACCGAGAAAAACCACAGCCACCCACTAGCCAAACAGATACAAAAGTTATTCACTTTTGTGTCAGACCGCTCTCCGGAGGTTGTGCACCACAGCGTCGTACCGTACTCACAGGGTGCCGCTTTGTAATTGTACTGTATATTGTAGCTCAGTATCACCGCTTCGAAGAGATGCATGCCCGGGGCGGGAGCGGGGGCGGGAGGAGGGGGGGGGTGGGCGGATGTATCACCGATTTCAACGTCGATACATCTCACTTCGACACAAGTTGAAGCTTGGAAGTTAAAGTTTTCCTGATCAGTGTGTGGGCGTTAATTCGATTCGCACAAATGATCAAACCACGTCCTCAGCTGAATAGTAGCATAATGTGGAACCTCCTTCTTTCTTCCCTATTCCCTCTCTATGAGAGTCGGTACTTCAAAGTTTGATGCAAAAACGCATGATCGCACCGGCTCGTCTGGTGCGTTCCAGCCTGGGTCTTAACTTTGAAGAATCACTGCATAATTTACGTATTTCCATGAGTTTTCTTTGTAATGCGTTTTGCATATTTACGCAGATGCAAAAGGCGTATTGTGAAAATGTAGTCTGTGTTTTGCTCAGAGGCGAATGAACATTGTCACCTACTTTTAGCTCAGCAGGGAGGTTATGAAGCCGAAATTTTTGAATCATACTCCCATCCCATCTGCTGTCTTTGCGTTTTAAAGTCAGCCTTCACGTACGCCTAGATTTTCTTGGCGAGGAAGGATTTCGGAACCGGCCAGCTTAGGAAATTGGAATTTCCTCTATCTATTTGCAGCCTAAGGATTACAAATTCAACTACCGCATGCGCTTATGCCACTCGTACTGTCACGTCAAAGTTTTCAGTTGGCACCATGCCGACTCCAGAACTAATCGGAAAACGTTAGCTGTGGTTTTTCCAGAATGTTTGTTGTACACCTGAAAGATTGCATGTCTAAATGTAGGCTTAGGTTCTTAGAGCACGTCAAAGTTATTTTTAGCAAAATAACGATTTCTGGTACTAAATAAGCTGCGAAGCTTAAATTTTCCAAGGCTATTTTATTTCCACGTGTGGCCTAAATTCAGCTTGAAAGCTGAATTCTCTATATAGCGGCTTGGTATATGCTCATCCTGTTTCAGCCTCAAAAGCGAGTGTTCTTATTTCATCATTCTTCTCTCTCGACATCCTGATTATGCGTTTTCGCTTATGTGCAAATTCCAAAAACGCATACTGCGACAATCCTGTTTGTGTTTGTATGTTTGTGCGTGCGTTTGTGTGTGTGTGTGTTTGTATTCATCTGTCCGGGTATTTCAACTTGGCAACCAAGTAAACTCCGGCGCCAAAATTTTGCCAGTGGGTTCCCCAATCAAGTGCCACCCCAGGACTGCGATACCAACCCTCTCGCAAGTCTGGTCCCCACGTATGAGAGGGTAAAAGTTTTGGCGGGAAAATGGCTAACTCGGGAAGCAGAAAAGCTGGAAAGATAGAGATTTTAGGAGAATATTCCCCATCCGAACAGAACTTAAAGGTTTCAAATTCAGCCTTCGTGGCTCTCGTGTACGGGCAGTTAAATTTTTCGGCGGGGAAATTGCTGACTGAATAGCTGGGTTATTTTCAAAAAACGACCGCTAAGCGGAAATTGTTTATTTTTGTTTATGCAAAATTTGCGGTGATTTACGGAACTGAGCGCGCGAGATAGATGTATAGGAATAATCATTCATGCAGTTAAGCTAATTACTTCAAGTTTGATGCAAAAACGCATGATCTCACTGGCTCGCTTGATGCGTTCCAGCCTGGGTTATTATTTAATTTGCATTTTCAGTGAACACCGGTCACCGTAATTATTAATTTCCCATATGCAAAATTTATGGTAATAATGTGTGTTGGAAGATAAGATTTCAAGTGACTCTATGATGCAGTACCACCACCCAGCCGAGACCCTTTCCTCCTGCATGCAGAAAAAGGTCAAAACATTGCCAGTATGTGTGCACATGTTAAACTGTAAAGCAGCATGTTGTTGACGATCTGACTGCTTTAAGTTTAGTGTTGGATCGCACCGGAAATCTTGGTATGCATTACTACCAGGGTTTTATTTGAATTTTACATATTTTGTATTTTCCAGTTTTCACCATAAACCATGTAACTCTACTCTAAACAGGGCGAATTACGGTAGCAGTTTGTTGCGCCACTGTTTTCTTCGAATACACATTCAAAACCGTTGCCGACAGCCCTAGTTTCTTCATTTCTTCGATAATTGACGCTGACAAGTCTGGCTTGGGATGAAGCGCTTCAACCTACTTTTTAAACAGTCCTTGGATAATAGAACAGTATGAAACAGGTTTTCGGTGCGACTAGTTTCTCTTAAGATGCTGCTGTTAGTTAGGTTTCACGAAAATGCCTCCTTCCGGAATTACATGCAGTAAGAGGGCCGAGTTTGAGTCAGATGATGTAGACATAAATTTCTGTGCTTGTTTCAACGCTAATGCTTTGGAGAAGCCTGAATTTTGTTATGGTTTTCCAGCTTATGGGCAGCACACTATCTTTACATGCAAATTCAGATTATCAGGTCTGGCATAGATTCATGTAGTGGTAACTGTGCAGTTAACGATACAAGGAACCAACCTCGATTCTGCTCCCGATAAAAATGTTTGCTGTTACTGAACGGCAGTTGCGTATCCAGTTTCTCACTGATGCAAGCTGGCTTGCTACCGCTAAATGTATACACATATTTACTGCTGTATCATTTTTACTCGTCCTGTGCTGCAACAGTTGCAAAAAACGCATATTGTCACTGTACTGTATGCGTGTGTGTGTGCGTGTGTGTGTGTGTGTATGTATGTGTGTGCGCTCAGAGTGCATCTTATCTGGGTTTTTTCAGTTCAGGAACCAGTAAAACTAGGAACCGAAGAAACAAAAAAGATAGAAAGCTGAATATTTACAATGATGCTTTCTGTCGGTGTACAGCCCTGGAAATTCAAATCTGCTTTTATGTACGCTTACATCTCGCGTGCGAACACGTGGAATTTCACCTAGGAAATTTTTAGTTCGAAAACCAGATAAGACAAAAGGTTCAAGTTATCGGGATGATTTCTGTCCATGCACGGTTTAGTCCCACGAACGCGGATTCACGCATGGACACGTGAAATTTTCGGCACGAAATTTTATAGCTCGGGAACCAGATTCGTTAAATTTTGCACACACCAAATTGTAGAGCAGTGGACATTCTTAACAGCAACGTCTGCTAAAAAGAACCGTGCAAAATGCACGATAGCAGTGACCACTCTGGTGCAAGCCGTTATTTAATTTTTATCAAAGTTCTTACAAAAAAACAATTGAACCCTTCCCAACTCGCTCTGTAAAAAAAGTAAAGGCATTCGAAATTATTGCGAAGGTAGCATGTGCGAACAGCAACCGCCTGTTGACAACACTATAGATGGTTACCGATCTTTTGCTGGTTTAGATTTGATAAAAAATATAGGATTCAGGAAAATGCCAGAACCGCAGTCGTGGTTATCATATTCTCCCTCCCATCTGTTTAAGGCAAT